CGACACGCCTGTGCGTACCGTTGAAACCATTGTGCTAGATGTCTCAAGGAGGGTTGATCGTAGTCTTTGTCGATGACGAAGCGATTCCATTCTAATCTCACAGGGTCGGGAAGCTTTGCCAGAGCAGTGTTCAAGTTTGTTGTAGAACAAATATCGTGAACAAAACCAAGTTGCTCAAAAGTGTCCACTAAAGTTAGGAGAAAAGCAGAAAACTGCATGTATGATTCTGGTTGAGCCAGATTTGGAGGTTTGAAATTTGCAAGACGTTGCAAAAAAGAGTTGACAATTCTATTGGTATTGCCAAAGTTTTCACGAAGACGTTGTAGTGCTAGTTCGTATGTGTCGCCGTTTGCACCATAACCAGCTATCATTAGTTTAGCTGGGCCAGTTACCAATGATTGAAGATGGATCATCTTTTCAGTTGGAGACATATTAGAATTATGAATCGATGATACGAATACACCATACCAGTGCAACCAATAGTTGGGATTGCCATTGAAAATTGTAGGCTTCAGTTTTGGCACTGATCGACTGAATGTAGTAGAAGTGTCGCTTGAATTAGTTGCCAAAGCTCGATTGTTGTTATTAGGAGGGTTTGCAGCACTAGCTTGTTGTGAGCTGTGGTTAGGAACATCACTAGCAAATGGATTTGAAAATGATTGGTCGCCTTGAAATGGCGCCGAAAGGTTGTCGTCAGAGGCAGCTGTTCTTGCATTGCCTTGAGTATTGTTGCTCATGGTTATAAGGTTGTTGTTTGGTATATCCATTATGTTTGCAGTCGGCATGGAGGTTGCGGTTTCCTGTGGGAAAATTGAAGTAGCATTTTCTCGAGCGCTGTTATTTGGAATTGTAGAAGTAGCAGGATTTGATACTTGTTTTTTCAAATATTTTTTCACTTTCATTGAAAATACTCGGATTTTCTGTTTCAACTGTACTTTCCAGTGAGAATGTTCTTCAAAATCGTGTTCAGAACCAGCCTGTAACATTTGATCGTTCAGGGTATCAAGTTTTTGTTGGAATTGAGACAATTCAGTGAACGTTTCATTGATGAGTTCAAGATCATCTTCTTCCTCGTAGATGTTGTTTTCGAGCATGTCGATCAAAGTATTGATCTCCATTTCGTGATGACGTCGAAGCGAAACCAGTTTTCGAACGCCAGTCTCTTGAACGTTTTGATTGGTATCTTGCGTTTGGGTACCATTTTGTTCCGAAGGATCGCTGTCATTGTTTTGCGTCGTTTTATTTCTACCGGATGGGGCCATACCTTGAACCAGGAGACGTAAACCAATACCTACCAACTTATACCAGTATATGAATTTACCTTTACCAACCTACCAACTTATACCGAATACCACCGATGCTCGTAAGAAGGAGCGAAATAATGGATAAAGTTTAACCAATTACCACTCTACCTTACCACTTGTACCTACCTCCGAGGGAAAATTGAGCGGTCGTTCAAAGTGTCCTCGGTATTAACAATTAACTGCGATTTTAAAGCTAGTCCAAGAACCTACCTGGTCCTACCAGCCTACCGACCCTACCTACCTACCAATTACCAGTTTAAACGGCAAAAAAACCGGGTGCAAAGATTAGCACCAATGAGTGTTGACCTCCCAGAGGACAACTGAGGATGACGTATTTACCTACCTACCTGTCGCTATTTAGCAGACGACCGAATTGTGATTGCTGACCTCCCAGAGGACAACTAAAGTTGATGTACCTGTTTACCTACCTGTCCTAATACCGTAGATTTATCCCTGTGCAATAAAATTTGCACTTATACCAGTTGACCTCCCAGAGGACAACTTGCCTTTATCGCTGTAGCGTAGCAAATGAGACGAACTAGAGTTGTTCGAAGCAGTTGATGAGCTAAACGAAGCTCGAATGTAGCCACGAACCCAGTGAGGCTCGAAGCAGCAGAGGAAATGAGCTCAGGTAAAGCTCGACAGGAAGCAGCCAAGAACCGAGAGGCTCAAAGCAGAAAATAAGGTGAGCTAAGACGAAGCTCGAATGTAGCCACGAACCCAGTGAGGCTCGAAGCAGCAGAGGAATGAGCTCAGGTAAAGCTCGACAGGAAGCAGCCAAGAACCGAGAGGCTCAAAGCAGAAAATAAGGTGAGCTAAGACGAAGCTCGAATGTAGCCACGAACCCAGTGAGGCTCGAAGCAGCAGAGAAAATGAGCTCAGGTAAAGCTCGACAGGAAGCAGCCAAGAACCGAGAGGCTCAAAGCAGAAAATAAGGTGAGCTAAACGAAGCTCGAATGTAGCCACGAACCCAGTGAGGCTCGAAGCAGCAGAGGAAATGAGCTCAGGTAAAGCTCGACAGGAAGCAGCCAAGAACCGAGAGGCTCAAAGCAGAAAATAAGGTGAGCTAAGACGAAGCTCGAATGTAGCCACGAACCCAGTGAGGCTCGAAGCAGCAGAGGAATGAGCTCAGGTAAAGCTCGACAGGAAGCAGCCAAGAACCGAGAGGCTCAAAGCAGAAAATAAGGTGAGCTAAGACGAAGCTCGAATGTAGCCACGAACCCAGTGAGGCTCGAATCAGCAGAGGAAATGAGCTCAGGTAAAGCTCGACAGGAAGCAGCCAAGAACCGAGAGGCTCAAAGCAGAAAATAAGGTGAGCTAAGACGAAGCTGGAATGTAGCCACGAACCCAGTGAGGCTCGAAGCAGCAGAGGAAATGAGCTCAGGTAAAGCTCGACAGGAAGCAGCCAAGAACCGAGAGGCTCAAAGCAGAAAATAAGGTGAGCTAAGACGAAGCTCGAATGTAGCCACGAACCCAGTGAGGCTCGAATCAGCAGAGGAAATGAGCTCAGGTAAAGCTCGACAGGAAGTAGCCAAGAACCGAGAGGCTCAAAGCAGAAAATAAGGTGAGCTAAGACGAAGCTCGAATGTAGCCACGAACCCAGTGAGGCTCGAAGCAAGCGGAATAAGTGAGCTCAGATAAAGCTCAAACAAATGTCATGTCGAAGAACAATGACGAAAATTGAGAGTCCAAAAAGAACTCGAATCAGGTAACCAAGGAGTCGGGCAATAAGAAAGCAAAAGTGTCAGAAAACACTTGAAGGAAGGAAGCAATGAAGGAAGCAAAGGGCCAAGAAAGGCTCGGAAGGAATATACAAGGCGTCAGATAAGACTCGGAAGGAATGAATGAATGAGTAGGGAAAGACTCGGAAACGAACAACAAATGGGTCGAGAAAGACTCGGAAAGGAATGAAACATTGAGTCAGAAAAGACTCGGAAAGGAACGCAAAAGGCAATAAAGACTCTGAACGGAATGAAAAATGAGTCGGAAAACTGAAGTTTTTTCATAAATGAGTCACAAAAGACTCGGAATAGCAAAGCAACAAAAAACGAATTGAAAGGGGAAAATTGATGAAAATAACTTAATACATTATTCAAAGTAAATGAAGCTATGAACAATTGAAACGTTTAAAGTTTACATGGGTTAGAAATCAAGAGCAATAATTGATCTTTTTTTTTTTAAAATGTAAATCAAATAAACTGCGATTAACTGTAAATAAATGAAATAATATTGTAATGGGGAAGTATTATAACAAGATATAATAAACCGCAGACGTAAAAACTGGGGAGGAAAAACAGTAACTAACCATAAATTTTTGGTTGTGGGGGAATAAAAAAAACACAGTGTAACGAGCTAATCAAAACTTTTTCGGGGCGCCAATATAATAATTGGGTAAATTACCTGAGGAGAGTAGTACACCAATTGTTAGTAAGGGTAGTTTTAAGGGTTGAGTCAAAGGAGTTCCATGCAGTTGGGCATCAGTTGAGTAAGTACATGAAAAATAATACAATAGTAAATCAGGGATAAAACTAAGGTAAATATAATATCATAAATAGGGATATTATATTACATGGTACGGGGAATACTAAAAGGCGAACGTTAGAAAAAGGGGAACTGTTAATAAGGGGGTTATTCAGAAAAGTTGATATTAATCCCGAGTTTTCGTATAAATTGAAACATTATTTTACCTGAAAGTTTGTCATTTCCTTGTAAGTCATGCTGTTTTTGAAAAGTTGAGAGAAACGAGTGAGTCAGCTTGGCTGTAATGTCAAAAGTCAAGTTGAAAGAAAGGTGACCTTAATTGTTTACAATTAACAGCTCAATTATTGGCTATTTTTGTAGTTTCTTTGGTTGTACTCTATTGGCTTTATTAGCTGACTGAAGTTTTATATGATGCCATTTTTTTTGTATTGGCATAAAAAAGAAATTGATATTTTCATAAGAACTCGTTCAAAGTACGCCATAAAGTTGAAACTACACTAAGAGTTCCTTGGGTTTTTCAAATTGCGTCTAAATTTGGTCTGCAATTTGAGAGCTTTTTATCGTATACATTTTTTTGCAGACTTTTTTCTCAGCAAGAGGAACTTGATTTTCTCTCTTAAACTTAGTTTTAAACTCACTAAAAACGCCAAAAACACACTTTTTCTGTAATTAGCCAGAGTCAATTTCAGAGTCAAAACACGTTTCAAATACTTTATTCAGTTAGGCACAATCTTAGTTCTGTTTAAAACTTTTGAAAGGGACTAGAATGAATAATTGACCAGTTTGACAAAATCATTGAACTGAATTGCAACTCTCCCTTCAGTTAGTCTGAGAATTATCACTGTAGTGAAAAGTCTAGAAAAAATGAATTACTTTTTAAATAAAAAATGATTGCAGATCCAAAATAATTGTACTACTGCAAAGTGCATGGGCTTGATCAGAAAAAAGCCCTCCTTTTCTGTAAAACAAAAGCTTACAGTGGGAAAACAGCTGCATACATAGTCTAGTTTTTGCAGGTCTTCTTTGGATTTTTAAAATACTTAACGGCAGCACACTTTCAGACCATAATTTGAGAAACGAAGCAGAAGCAGATTAAGTTCCCATAGCCAAACTTGGTTACTGCATGCTCGATTTTCTTCATGGAAGTTAAATTAAATTTCAGCCTACAATTTGTTGGGATAAAACTTTGGTTTTGACTTTGGCTACTTTTTCCAGGTAAGATCTACGACGTCGGGCAAACATCTGAGCTGTACGGCCAGATGATAGCCGGACTGATCACAAACGAGGAGCGAATCGAGATCAACAAGATCTCCTCCGACTGTTCCGGATCATGTCCAGGGCTGTACACTGCGAACACGATGGCAGTGGCCATAGAAGCTATGGGCATGAGTCTCCCCAACAGTTCCTCCACACCTGCTCTGCACGAAGAGAAGGAGAAAGAGTGTTTGAAAATTGGCGCCGTTATGAAGAGACTTCTAGTTAGAAACATTAAGCCCCTCGATATAATAACCAGGTTAACAGTTGATTCAGTTTTCTGGGTAGGTTCACGCGTTGATAACCGTGTGTTTCTAAGAGTTGAGTTAATTTATGGGCAAAAGTCAGAATATGTCTGGTGCAATATTCTCATTTTTGTCATTGTTTTTTTTAAATGGGTTAAACGGGTTTGCTAAATATTAGAAAAAAATACCCAGATATGCAATTAAAAAAGAATAGTTTGATGTTTCCCAAGTTTTCAAGCTATCAAACTAGAGATTTTTTCTCATTAAAGATTAAATTTTAAGCAAAAGAGCCAATGTAATTTTCGATTGAACTCTTGTTTTTTAGACTTAATTCCATAATGAATTAAATTTGGAAGTGGTTTTCAATTGCATATTTAATTAAGTTGCAGTTAAGTGGTAAACTGTGCAATAATTTTTCAATAATAATTATAGCCTGAAACAATTCAATAAGTATTGTATTATTTTCTTTTCAGAAAGTCTCTGGAAAATGCGATTACTGCAGTTTGCGCCATTGGTGGATCCACCAATGCCGTTCTGCACATATTGGCTATAGCTCACACAGCCAATATCCGATTAGACATAAAGGATTTCCAGCCAATCAGTGATCGAGTTCCTTATATTGGCAATCTTAAGCCCAGTGGAAAATATTTCATGCCCGATTTGCATAATGTCGGGGGAACTTCTATCTTTTTGAAGCATTTGCTGGATAACGGCTACCTCAATGGGGATTGCTTGACAGTTACAGGAACTACTTTATCAGAAAACTTGGCAAACACGCCAAGTTTGGAAGATTTGAAACAAGATGTGATTTTCAGCTGCAAAACGCCTAAAAAAGCAACATCCAATTTGAAATTACTGCATGGCAATTTAGCTCCAGAAGGCTCAGTTGCGAAAATTAGCGGAAAAGAAGGACACTTTTTCAAAGGACCGGCAATTGTTTTCGACAGCGAGAAAGAAATGCTTGAAAGTTTCAAGCATCAGCAGATCAAGAAAGGAATGGTTGTTGTCATCCGATTCGAGGGTCCCAAAAACGGGATGCCTGAAATGCTCTACCCGACTGGCGCTTTAGTGGGTGCAAACTTGAGCCAACATTGTGCCCTGGTCACCGACGGAAGGTTCAGTGGAGCTTCACATGGATTCATCATAGGTCACGTGAGCCCAGAAGGCTTCAACGGGGGTCCAATAGCTTTGGTACAAAACCATGATGTCATCACCATTGACATTGACAACCTTTCTCTTCAAGTGCATATTTCAGAAGAAGAGATGGAAAACAGAAGGGAACACTGGATCAAGCCCCCTTTGAAGTGTAAACATGGCTCTTTGAGGAAGTTTGCGAAGGTCGTTCAAAGTGCTTCCAAAGGCTGCGTTACCGATTGTCCAATTTAATGGATGAGAAAAATTAAATGACTTTTACTAAAAAACCTAGATATTCTATAATCTGTGTTTCAGGTTCTAAATATACGCAAGCTACTTAGCTTACCTTTATTTATAAACAAATTTTGACAGTCAAGTTTTTTTCTTCCAAAAAGGACAAGTCTAAACACATTTCAAAACGGAGAGGCGTGAGTTTTAATTAAAAATAAGTTTTAACAGGATTACTCAACTTAGGCTTATATGTTTTCAGTATCAATCGGAGCAGTATAACGGTGCTGAAAAATATAATGCTGTTCAACAGTTCCGAAACTAATTTTAAAACTGTTTTTACTCATCCCAATTCACTGACAAGTAAATCAATTAAAATGGTCGGAAAATGAAAACACACATGGTCCTTTTAAATGATGCCGCTTGTTTAACAAACAAGCTATCCTCCGCGCGACGTCATGAAGTTTTCTGACAAACATTTAACTCTGCCAATTGTCAACTTGACTTCTCGGTTTTGCTGCAAAAACAGCATTCACGCCAAATTGCCAACAAATCACAAAACTCAAAACTTCCAATTATCAGCAGTGTTCGGTACTGTTGAACGCATTTTCAGTTTCGGCTTTGATGTAATTCGGCACTGTTGAACTTTCCCCCGCACCAATCATAAGAATCTCGGCTTAACTAAGAAGCTTTGATGTTATCTTATTTGATTGAAAAAGATTGAAAAATAAACTTTTCAAAAAATTAATCTACTTTTTTAAAACTAGCATAGTTCCGCTTTTTCTAGCAGTTTTTCCAGCAGTGATTATTCCAAGAAGTGCTAAGAAAAATTGATGTTATTTTATTCGATTGAAAAAGATCGAAAATTAAAACATTTCAAACAATTAATCTATTTTTTTTTCGTTAAACAAGCTAAGTTCCGTTTTTTTTTTCTAGCAATTTTTCCAGCAGTGATTATCCTACCTTTAAATTACGCGGGTTGAGCTCACATTGAAAATTAACTATCAGTAATGGTAACAAAAACAACGATCGCCATCGATGAACTATCAACAATCATTGCCATAATGGCAAATTTTATCGATATATTATCGTTAATTTGGCTAAATTTCAGCGATGAAACAGCAAAAAAATTCTATAAAATTGAGCAAAATAGTGAACTACCGCGGTTCAATCCAGCAACCATCAGCTTGGCAGACATGCATGCTACCTCTGCGCCAGCAAGCCTCTTATATTCACAAAGTTAAAGGGCTCATCAACTCACACTCTCATTTGAAAGCTACCAGAATGAGTTAAAACTTCTTTAGTTTTAGCGCTGATTTTCGCCCGAATCATTTCTGAATAAGCTCTGAAATACCACAAGTTAAGCTATGCAAGCAACGAATTATACATGAAACAACGCTGGAAAAATCGATCACTGGGATACTTCAGAAAAAAGCTATAATTATCCGTGGGACTGCAACCCGAGTAGTTTTATAGCATATGAGGAAAATTATGTCATTTGTCGAGTTTTACTTGCTTTTTTAAAAAAAATTTCTTGATCTCAATGACTTTGATGCTATTAGCTTGTCAGTGAACAAATATATATGTCATGAGCAAAATTTCATGTGAATTTTCTGGTTTTTGCAAAATCTCCCATTTTATTTTTATTTTAACACAGTGTTGTCTAGAAAAAAATCAAGCAAACATTTCATTGTATTGAGCAAATAAATCAGATAGAGGCAACAAAAAATTGAAAATGTTTCAATATACTCGAATCAATACAAAAGTCGTGTAAATGGCTACTTTGAAAATTTCGAAACTCGAAGAAAAAATACATCATGTTAAAGCACTCTAAATTTCAAAAATATTTGCGCATGACGCGCACATTCTATGCGTCAAATAGGTTAGTCGACTTGAAAAAAACTTCTGAAAATTTATACGAAAAAAAAAACAATTTCTGATGCAAAAGTAAAAAAAATCAAACTCGGCCCATCCAGCAGGATTTTCTATTTCATTAGCTGATTTATGTATAACATCAATGTTTAGCTTATTTTTCACCAAAATTTCTATATCCATAACTTACCAAGTTTCATCAGATTTTCAAATTTCAAACCCAAAAATAGGACCCTAAAAAGGCAGACAGCACACAACTGGACTAGTTCAACTATCGATAAAATACTTATTGAAAAAACATTTTAGTTTACTGAAAATTTTCTGAAAAAAATAATTAATTTTTAATGGTAAATTAAACAAGGACAGTCATATTGTGGAGAATTTGAGGTCTTATTAGTCTTTATGTTTGTTGATGAAAAGCCTTGAAAAAATGATAAACAACGCCATATCTCGGAAACCATTAAGATTTGAGCTGTAATATCTAGAAGCCAGATACTCCACCTCCAAATGTACACTGACAGCACCCAAAGATAGGGTTGCGAGTTTCAAATTTTACAAAGAGACGAAGCGGAGCTTCGCACCACTTGCGCTACAACACAAAATGAGCAAAAAAGAAAAGTCGAAATGAAAGTCGAAAATGAATATTATTGAAAATCTAGGTGAAGCAAAATGTTCGTATGTCTCGATGGCTAGAGGCCCAGCTAAGCTGGAGGTAGCTGCTTGATAATTTTGAAATTTGTTATACTGATGCGGGATGAAATAGGTTATATCAAAAAATGAACTTTGCCCAAAACCTTAGTTGTGCCTCTTACTAAACTAAATGAGAAGAGTAAAAAAAAATTAGGTGAACCAAAAATTTCGTATGTCTCGATAAAAGAAAAGTATGCGGCCAAACTTAAGCTCGAGATAGAAAACTTATCTTTTTGGAACCTTTTATTTTGTTACGAGATGAAATGGGTACTTTCAAAAGTTGGAGTTGGCCTAAAACCTGTTGTTTCTCTACTAAAATAAGTAAGAGTGAAAGTTTTTGAGAAAAAGCAGTCTTCACAAGTACATAAAACATTTAAGAAAAAGTTGCTACTTTCGATTGAAAATTTCATCTCATATTTGATAGGGTAGTTTCTGAGAAAATTGAAATGTTTCTAAAAAAAGGTTTTTTGATAGTATTACTTCAACTTGCGAAAACTGGATCAATACGTAAAAAATTTTATTCCGAATGAAATCTAAAAGTTAAATTCCACCTTTGAAACTAAAAATCGTTCACGTTTTTTTGCGCCAATTCCACGTGTGTATTAGGAGAGTGCATTTTACGTCACTTCAAGCAGATGAACTTCAATTTAACTCAAAAAGTGCATGTATACCTACCAGCATTCATAACTGCGTTAACAGGTTTGAATGTACATCTGTAGTTATTAGGGACTTTTATGCACAATTTGACTTTTTCCTGAAAAAAAAATCAGGAAGATCTATAGCGTCTTGACTACGTTCATAAATTTTAAAATTTGACTTTTCAGAGGGCCATTTATTTTTGTATTAAAAATTTGGGCGTAACCTCACATGCTTATAAAATTTTCACAAACCGCATTTCGAATTGAACTTAAAATATCAGATTTTCTCGGGTAGATTTCGAGAAGTCAAAAAAGAAAAACTAAAAGTCAAAAAAGAAAAAAAACGTCAAAATAGAGTTTTTTGTTTAAAAAATGGGCAATGCGTTCATGCAGTGGAGCTTTCCATAACTTAATTTTTTCCTTGACCCAAACTCTCAGCCTTAGGGGAAGATTTTATGAGAAAAACTAAAAATAATCTCAAAACTATGGGTCAAATATTCGGCCTACAGACTTTTTCTGAAGGCTGTAGACAGCAGGGTAAAGTAAAAAGGGACCAGAAAATTATGCAGACGTACAGGAGAGTAGGCGGCCTTTCCATTGATACGTTATTTTCAAAATTCAGTAGAGTAGTTTTTTAATAAATTAAGATTTTTGCGAAAATAAAAGTATTTTCGAAAGCTTTCAAAAAAGTAAAAAAAACATAAACCCATACATTTTCATAATATTTGATTCTATCGAACAGGAATTTTTCTGGCCGTCAAAAAAGCACAATAAAGTTTGACAAATCCGGTACAACAGCAGCTAAAACCATGTAGTTGAAAAAAAAATGATTCCAAAACAGACTTGGTAAAATGACAAATTACAAATAATCAGTAGCCACCCTCCCCTCAGGAATTCGACCCACTGCTGACCCAAAGAGTCCCCTTTATACTATTTTAAGATATCCATTTTTGGTTGAATGAACTTCAAATTTTTCTTAAGGCGTCAATCTATACTAATTTAGAGGGGGGAGCGCGCGCCGAAAAAAAAACGTGATTTTTAGGTCGAAATTTTCCAAAAAGTGCCTAAAAACGCCTTCAAAAAAGATCGATCGACAAATTTTTTTTGAAAATTCGCCGACAAAAATAGATCGATCGACAAAATTTTTTTGAAAATCCGCCCCTTCCCTCTCGAGAAATTCCTAGATCCGCGCCTGCAAAAATTTTCACAGGTTGGCAGCAAAACTAGGTATAATCAACAGTTTAATTAGAGAGCGATAAAAGAGTTTTAAATCAACTTCCATAAATATGGAAAGTTAACCGCCTGTTCAAATCTGATCTCGTGATATGACATCGCGCGATATCGCGTGACATTGTGTGATATCCAATCATGTTCTTATTTTGAACCAAAAAGTGGGAAATGACTTCTCTATAAAGTGAGAGGTCATTTCTCCGAAACTTAACACTTCTCCTTTCAAAATAAGTACTAAATCATAGCCTACACTAGTCTGGAGGTTCAGTTTTACCATGTCCCTTACAATGTTTGTTAAGAGCAATATCACTTTTTTCTGTCCTAAGTCAAATATCCGTTTCAATTTGCCTGCTCTGCTTTCAGACTTCTTACGCTCCCTTAGCTTTGAACCTAACTTCATGTCCATACTCTGAAACTTCTCAACCTCGCATAAGTTTCTCGACTCCTCCTTACCTCGTTCATCTAATGACGTTTTAGATTTTGGATGGGCTCTAGGTTCATTTTTCAACTCAACTTCTTTCCTTATATCATCGTCTTTTATCAAGTTCTCAATTTGCTCACTTAAATTCTTCTCTTCTGTTTTTCTGCAAAAATAAGTCTTACTGACTCTGAAGAATTGTTTTCCCTCTTTTTCAACACTTCATTTTTTGTGATTTCCAAATCCTGTAATTTTCCAAATGAAAAGATTACCTCGCTCACTAAGTGGATAAACAGTCCCATTTCCTTGCTCATTACATGACTTTTCTACAAAAACTACTTAAGCTCCTCCTCTAGTAAGTTTTGAGAGGGACACTAAATTTTCTGAGTTTTCTGGTACATAGAAACAATCACTCATTGAAACTTTTTTTCGAATTTCCTTGAGAATCTTTCACGAAAAACTCAAATCTTCCTTTACCAAAAACCTTAGACTCCGTTTTGTTAGCGTTTTCAACAATTTTGCGAAAACTCTGGTCAAGCTCAGGAAATAATTTCTTATCCTTTATCAAACTGCAAGTTGCGCCTGAATCTATAATTAGGTAACCGTCGACTCTCTCAGCCGAGTTGTAAAAGCTAAAATAAGTTTCATTTTTTTCAGCCAACTGCTGGTCTTCTCTCACGCTTTTTCTCTCAAGTTCCTTCTTACAATCCCTAGCTTTGTGTCCTATTTCTAAGCACCTGAAACATTTCACAGGTCTATCACTAGATGACTGGTTAACCTTATTCACTAACTTAGATCTACAATGAGCTGCTATGTTTCCTGTCTTATTGCACCTAAAACATGTTTTTGTTCTAGAAATAAACGAAGGTTCAGTCTCCTCCTTCTCATTCCTATGATCACTTTCAAAGTTTAACAAGTCTTTCTTAATTTCGTTCAAACTCTTATCATCTTTGCTAAACTTAACCAAAGTACAAAACGTATTGAACTCTTTTGGTAGGCCTTTAAGAATGATTGACACAAACATCTTTTCACTTAAGCCCTCGTCTACTTCATCTAAATTATACTGCAACTCTTCAGCTCTAGTGATATAATCGACTACACTCTCATTAGCTTTTATTCTTATCGAAGTTATATCTGAAACTAATTGCTGCAGTCTAGGTCTCTCGGCGCTTTTGAACCTTTTGCATAAAATTTCCTAAGCCTTTCTTCCCTTGCCTTTATAGGGTCTTAAAAACAAAACAGATTTTTTGTCTAAGCATTGCATCAACTCATACCAATTATGCAAATCTTTTTATTCTAAAATTTCTCTCCCTTTTCTTAAAGATGCCTCTCTCTGTTCTACAGTAGCATTATTCCTAACAATGGGTGCAAAATCTTTCTCACCTACTTCTCTATTGATAACTTTATTCAGTTTAATATGAAAAATTCTAGCCTCAAATTGCTCTGCAAAATACAAAAAAACTTCTTTTCCTGAAAACACTATTCTCTCTGACTTAGACATTTTTCACCTTAACCGTATTGCTCTGAACAAATACCTTATGTTCCACGTACTTTTCAACGACAAAAATTCAGTCTATATTATATCACCAAACATATCGCAGCGCATAATATAAGTAATCATGTATCTCATTACCTAAGTCTGATCCAAAAACTAATGGTAAGCGTACTGAATAACACATCAGCGATTTAGCAAAGCTGAGGTTACTTCACAGACTTCATACATAGCAATATATATTAGCAAAATAGAAATTTTCGAGTGTTTTTTTGTGGAACTGCTATTCTTTAAATCAGGTTCGAGTGCAGATCTCGCAGCGACAGATTACGATCCCCCCAAGCAACAATAATTATCTACAAATTTATATAAAATACCACATCAATTGAGTTATCAAATTGATTAGTTTGTCAGTTTCTATCTATCACTGTTTCTCTCTCTCTCTCTCTCTCTCTCTCTCTCGAGTGCTTATTTCAGCTTTCGTTGTGACTCCAGACTTCACTGATCACTGAATTGTCTCAATGCCCTGTCTCAATGACTCTTTATATTGCTCTGTTTTCTATCTGCCAGTTCACTATCTTCTTTGTGACTTTTCCCTCGGTTGTGTTTTTTGTGAATTTAACTGTGTCAACTATTTACAGCTTACTCTCTCAAATTTTTTTTAAAGTCAGTCAATCTTGACTTGTGACACGTATTTTAGCAGCTGGGCCCATAACCTTTCACAGGTTGGCAGCAAAACTAGGTATAATCAACAGTTTAATTAGAGAGCGATAAAAGAGTAGTAAATCAACTTCTATATATACGGAAAGTTAACCGCCTATTGAGATCTGATCTCGTGATATGACATCTCGTGATATGACATCGCGCGATATCGCGTGACATTGTGCGATATCCAATCATGTTCTTATTTTGAACCAAAAAGTGGGAAATGACTTCTCTATAAAGTGAGAGGTCATTTCTCCGAAACTTAATAAAAATAAAATCCACGCTTAAAAAGTAGGCCAAAAAATGCGAGTCGAAAAAAAGTTACTTCTCAAACGTATTTGAAAAAAAAAATTACAGCCCGAAACGTACTCTACCTTTTGATTACCTAAATTAGGGTAGTTTTATCTGAATTTTCAAGAAATTGAAAATGTTTTGAAATTACCATTCCTACAAAAATGACCATTCTGTGAACAAAAATGTTTACAGAAAAACGTCTTGTACCCGATTGCAATGTCCTTGCGTATCGCAAGGTAATCAAGTAAACACTGAAACAAAAAGCTTTAAAAATTTGCGTTGCGAAAAAAAGGAAAATCTGTTAGAGGTTTCACGCTCAACAGATGTATGGTTAAAATCGTAATTGACCTTCTTTTCAATAATAATTTTCAAACTTCAAAAACTAGTTTTACTTGAGTGAAACTAAGCTTTCAGGGCTTGGATAAAAATTTCACGTCTTTTCCCTCGAATAATTTCGAAAAAAAAGTGAATAAACGAAATGAACTTCGAAAAGAAATGAAAATTCAAAACACGAAAAAATCAAATTTGAGTGTGAACCAATTTTGGACTTTTTCCTGAAAACCAAAGTCAACAAAAAATCATCAAGACCTATATAAGTAAAAATCACTTGGTTGTTTCACACTTGGAGATAACGCAAATAAACGTCTCTTTCTTTTTTCAGTTGCACTGAATAAGTTTCCTCACTGAGACAAGTAATACTTGGACAGGTAAGCGTTTTAATCTCGCATTTCGAAAAGCTCGGCGACGACTGGCATAATAAAGACAATTAAATTACGTTTGAACAGAAAATTAACATCAATTCAAAATAACATTCAACAAAAGTTTTACAAATAGAAGATTGATTTAATTTAAGTTTCATTATGTTCTATTGCATCAAATCCTGTATTCTATTTCTCTGTCTTGATCGTTTTGTAAGTTCAAACTCTGGATGTGTTACTTTCTTTGTACACAATTGACAAAACCAGTCATTCTTAGGTACATCTTTCAAAGGCGGATCGGCACATTTCAGATGAAACATTTTGTCACAAGTTTCGCAACACAGAACAAAACCACCTAATCCGCAGAGCGCACAGAAAACTCCGTCGTCTAAAACTGGCAACACTGCGAAAATATCTTCTTTTTCCGGTCTAGAATCTTCGTTAGGTGCTGTTGACTCACTACCTGTTTTTCCTATTGATCGTCCGTTTCGAGACATTGTGTTGTTGTTGTGAGGCTCGTGTTTTAAATTTCTACATGAGAGCTTGGACTTGTATCTGTGACAGTTGCCGCAAATAGTGCCATGCTTCAGGCCGAAACAGTACTCGTTTTTGTGATAGGCAACATTGCAAACCTTGCACATTTGCAGGTGGTCATTCATTCCTGTTGAATTGACAAAACAAGAACTGCATATTTTCTTAATACCAAAATTGGCCGAAACATTACCGGCCGACTTTGACCATTTTATTGACATATTCAACACTTGAAGATACAGAAATAATTGAGCAAACCCCGAGCTGGATTGCAACGCTGTCATCCATCGTTCGATGAAGGGCCGTATTTCTATGACTACATTCGAATCCATACCTTCGCCATCTGATTGAGAATTATCGTCGGCAATGCTTGCTTCCACCACCAAAAATTGGTCGTCGTTGTACTTAGATACAAGAGGTGCGCTAAGGTAGTCTTTTCTTATAGCTGAAGTCAATTTGCACAAAATTTCGGCGTATGACTGCACTGAAGTTGCGCCGCTCACAGAAGCATTTGAATCTCTTATAAACCCGCGGTTTATTTGCGAAAAGATTTGCTGTCTGTCTTGGTTTGTTAAGGATTGGTTGAGGAAAGGACCATTGGCTAACCGTTCGAAAAATATTTTGCATGTTTTGCAGAAAATTTCGACCAAGTCTAAATTTGCGCACTGGTTGTTCATTTCATTGGGATCGTATTCAGTCAGCATCTCAAACACTTCCTGTGATTCCAACTTTTGCAATTCTTGGAACAAATATTTCTTTATAGAGATAAGATTCTCTTTCAGTGACAATTCTCTCATGCCCCTGGCATTCAAGCTGGCAATAAGATTGTCTATTGCAGATTGAGTGGAATAAAACGACCATGTAGATTTGAGATCCTTCCCCGAGGGAATCGAATTCAGTTGAGGCCATTTGGGAAACATAGGTTCCCCGTTGAAGCCTTGTTCTGCCATTTCCTCAATTTCCCAGTTCGGTTTTTCTTCCAAACACGGAGGCTTGTAATGACCTTTGAACCCGTTCAGCTCTGCCCATTTTCGAAACTCTGGATCTTCTTCCACAAATATTCCAGGAATGCTTCTAAACTTCCAGTACCTCCTGTGTACCCTGTCTTGTCCAACGGGAGTAATTCCCCAAGTCGTTTGATACTCGAACATCAGTCTGATCCATTTATTTTCTTCAGCATCCGAACGCGCATTAATCTGCTCAACAATGAAGTCAACTGTTCTGTAGAAATCACGTCTCTCGTCTTCTGATGCAAAAATCTCATCCCCATGTGTTGAGTCTTTACTGAAAATAGCTTCGATTTCTAGAATCTGGTGTGCCTCCAGGTGTTCCAAAATAGCAGGACCATTGTCAAGAAAATCATCAACATCTAGACTGATAATGAGATCGATGAGTGACCTTTTGTGCTGTTCCAAGGAGTCCGCGTCCATCTTCATGAGGTGTTGCAGTACAGACATGACGTCGTTTGGATCCGATTTGTCACTGGATTTAACTGCTTCACTGTTCATCATTTGTTGCCTCCAAACCCTAAAAAATCAAACAGACCGTTGCCAAAGATTCCCTGCTGAACTCGAAAGATTTTTTCAAATTCTTATTCGAAAAAGTAAATATTGAAGCATTTAAATTTCAGAAACCATAAACAATTGTACCATTATTACAAACGCAATCTTGATTAGAAAAATAAGCCTGTGTATGAAAGCAAAATTTCACCTAAGCCTATAAGAACAATCGGTATTTCTTGCGATGTTAGTCGAAAAAAATTTTGCATGGTGAACAAACTAAATGTTGCGAACAGGTTTGTTCTTAATATTTTACATCGCGCATGTGGTCGTAAAAACACATAAAACTATGAAATTTTGGGGGAACGTGTAAAAGGGCCAAATTGAGATAAATGTTGAAATTGAATTAACAGCACTTCTTACCCAACGCATTATCATTTTTGACTGTGCAACATCTTACCCTAACCATCTTCTAGTCCTAAAATCGGTACAGGTATTTCTTTTATTTTTGCTTAACCCAGTTTGTCAACGCTTAGTTGAAAATCAGTCACAGTGCTGCACGACATATTCCGTTTTTTAAAAATTCACGTGCCAATCATAAAGTCAATACTAAGCAACAGTAGCTTCTTTTTATTTTGCTCTCAAAAAAAAAATAAAAAATGGAAAGAAAAGATGTGTAATTTGACGTAAGAGTTTAGGTAACGGTCCACAAATGGCTATACAGCTAATTTAATCAAGAGGTCACGGTATCCGAAAAATCGCTGGCACTGATAAAAATGAATGCCTGGCACTGAACATTTCTGGAGAAAGATGTTTTTCTATTTTTCACACAACTTTTAGCACAATTCGAAATAACTTATATTTAATTTTTTTTATGTTTGGCTTTAAAAATTTTTGAGCTGCTCATATTACCAGAAAATTATAACGTGTGCGCCTATTTCAAATTTAAAGATTTAGTGAACAAATGCGGTGAAAATTTTTTTGCACTGATTTTGATTTGCTTGTACTGATATGGCACTGACAAATCACGCTTTGCACTTATCGCACTGATATCGTGGCCATCCAGTTAATATATCAGACTCCATTCATTGTATTCTTGTCGCCACTACGGAAATTAAGACGATAGATTTTTGAGCACCATTAGTCCAAGCGTAAACAAAACAACGATAACCCGTTGCTGTGCAGGCAACACAGAATATTCCGACCACATTCAATACAAACTACACACACATGCGTAGAAAGTGAGTGAATTCGCCACAATCGACAGCTGACTTCAAAACAAGAAAAACAAACTAATTTTCTTCTATTTTTTGCACAAAAATTTTTTAAAAAAAAAACATTTTTCTCAAAGAGGTGCTATATGAAGACTCTTAAACTAGTTTTCGTTTAGTTTAATCAAGTTTTTTTTTAGCTTAGATGACCAATTCGAATCACGACTGAAAAAACCTTAATATGATATATCACTCAAACCATTCCGATGATTATTTATGGCGCCTGATTTTGCGCGGAAAACAAGATCATCGCCAACAGACAGTGGGAAAAAGTCAATGAAGGCAAGTGAACAGAAAAAAACATTTTGAATGGTGAAATATCTCAATTTTCGCATTTCAGAAAAAAAAGACGGCGTTAAAGCTCTTTGAATTTCAAGAACAAGCTATGATTGGCACTTTTTTTGATAAAAAATAACTCAATTTTATGGATTTATTGGATCACATTTTTCTTGACCTTTTCACTTTCGTAACATGAGAGCGCTATTTGTCAACCTTCCAGCAAACGAAATTGAATTGAACTCAAAAAATGCATATATAACACAGAGGCGAAGCTTCGCTTCGCAAACTCTAGCGAGAACACGACAAAAAGCAGCTCTATAGAGTGGAAATAAGCCTCGAATTAGTAAAAACTCGGCTACATCTCGGATTCGAACCTATCTAAGATTCGAACCTACCTACTTCGACCTAGAAATTTTGAGTCTGACGCACTAACCACTCAGCCACAGACGCTTAATTAATAGCGAACACTAGGCACAGATAAAGCAGAGAACATATGCTATGCAATTTCCACATCTGTACAAATCAGTCCCATATAAAACAGCCCGATACACAACAGTCCCAGGTAATATTTGTTTTATGCTTAAACTGCAAACAACAAAATAGTGACTGACGCAATCGCGCCAACAAGTTGCGAGCTTGCCAACAGAGGGTAGGACAAAACTTAGAACCGGATATCACCGCAATGTGGCGACGCGCGCCCAACAGCGACCTTAAGCCGGAATGTTTTGTAGCAAAATGTTTTTTTTTGCTCATGTCATGATTTTTCGGACTGTTTTGTATATGCAAAAATTTCCAATGCTTCAGTGAAATTTCCGTATAATTGAACACTTTCAATGAACACTATTTGCGAGTTGGGTTAGAAAAAAGAAGGTTCCTACTAACACACTAGATGTTTGCTAGTGTAAATATGAATTTATAAATGCGTTTATTTTTATGAATGTACTTCTGTAGTATTAGAGCATTTAAAAACTTTTCCTTTAAAACAAAAACCATCGCGACCTAGATAAGAGTCTTCACTACGTTCAAACAAAATTAAACAAAATAAAAACAAAATTAAAACATCCGAATACAAAGCTCCTCTTAGGTTACAATGGTCAGAACAATAATCGGATCATTAAAATCATGTACTGGGTGGAGGCACATGCATGTTTGAAAATAAATATTGAATCGCTAGTTCCATGGCTGCATTGTTATTAAAGCCCCTGTTTTTTACGTTTTCATTTAACGTTGTTAAACCAGACCTGTGGTCTAAATCTAGGTCGCAGGTACTTCCAGACTTGAGCTTGTAAAAGTATAACTGATTTCAAAATTATCCACAGAAGGATTCGAAGAGCAGCCTTGACTAGGAGAAAATTGAATTTTTGGTTTCGAGTGATTAAATCAGTCACTTAGTTTCAATCTCAATCAATAAAAATTTCTTTAATTCATTTTTGCTTCTGAGATAACCAACACATTTTGAAGCAGCAAACTTTTGGCATTAAAAACCAAAAATACATAAAAATCATTGACCAAAAAATGACACTGCCACGAAGTAGACGTGATTTTTTCTAGGATTACACCAGACTAACCGCGCAGTCATCAGATCTCGTTTCCACTTCGCTTCATTTTTCTGGAACTTCTTAATTTCATTTCTCGTCTCGGCTATCAGTTCCGCACTATTGCTCACTCGTTCCTTCAGTTCGGGCTTTATGGACAGCAGTTCGTCACACAGACAGTTGAGAATCTTCACTTTCTCTTCTATGTTTAGTCTGTAGACAGACTTGTACTCCAGTCTGTTCAGGATTCTGCTGTGGCAGCTCTTGAAGTCAACCATTGGATCCTCTCTCACATCAAACGTATTCCATCTACTCGCCCTCAAAATCACAAATTAATTCACAGTTCCTCAGGAAAATTTCAAAGAGTAGAATGGTGTTTCGAAATTTTTACTATCATACACATAAAAAAGGATTTTCCAGCAGCATGAGCCACGGCCTCAAAATTAGGGAAAATTTTCTAAGAAATCGGAAAGCCACAAAAAAACTTACATGAAAAAAATTATACTTATATTTCCAGTGAGTTCAAGGAAAAGCTGACCGTTTGGTTAGCGAACAGAATTTAACAAATATGTAAAGCTGAAACAAAATTCTAATTGAACTAACTTCAGTTTCATTATCTCGGTTATAGATTTGAATCCAGACGCAGAAAAGAGAAGTCTTAACACTTCTGACATTGTGTAAGGGTTCACTGGTAACCTCGTCAAGGGCAGTCCTAGGTGGGAAAGACAGAAAAATACAGTCTCACTGGCCTTCAGCAGCGCATTCTGGTTTTCGTGACTAACACAGTCCCAGTTAGATATCTCCGATACTATTTCCGATTGCTCTTCTACCGTTAGATCAAAAGATATCAATTCGTCAAGACAAGTCAACACATTCGTCACAAGACACGATAAAATTAGGAACAACTTTCCCGACACATTTGAATCGTGCAAAGCCTCCATGATATCGGCAAATGTCAATTTGTTCTGCGCTAGATACTTGTCAACTTTCAGCATTTCTCCGAATGTGTTGATGAAATCAAGAACGGATACGATTCCCGGGAAAATGGCATCCCCCGTGAAAGTGGTTAGACCCAGGTGTTGTGACATGGCAGTGGGCATAGGAGTTATCTCTTTGTGATCCTCTAGCTCTAAATCGTCTCTTATTTTGCTCCATTTCTTCATCCATTCCATCTTCAGTCGTTTTTCTTCGCGCTCCTTCTGTTTTCGCAGCTGAAAAGCACAATCAAAGTTAACTAAAAAAATCTGAACAGCCAACAGACAGTTGGAAAAGAGTCAATGAATGCAAAGAACAGAAAAAAAAACTTGTATTTTGTAATATCTCAACTTTCGAACTAGAAAAAAAAATAATAGACGTGAATTTTTTAAAGTTTTTGAATTTATGATCGAAAATTTATGATTTATAATTTGATTAAATTAACGGAATCAAATTAGTTCACGTTTTTGTGACCTTTTCACTTTTGCTGTTCGATAGTGGAGTTTGCCTTCCTTTTAAGAATGCTTCTTCTTTAAAATAAAAATGCATTCACATCATTCAATGCTAGGTTATGGTTATTTGAAGGTTGATTTCATATACGACAGGAATACTTCAAGAAGACATAATTAAATTACCTCTTCTAATTTCTCATCCAATTCACTCTTTCGGGGCTTAGTGTCCATAATCTCCATGTCTTCCTTATTTTCTACTTTAACAGTTACCGATCCATTAATAGCTGCGCAAGTTTTCGCTTTCTTTTGCTTCGGCTGACCCTCACTCTCTATAACAAAAATTGCTCTGGCCTCATCGAGAGCACATTTACTGTTCATCATAAGAAAAAAAAACAGCTTGATAATTGGTCCTTCCGCCATGATTAAATGGTCTGCCTTAATAATTTGCAACAAATATATAATGTAAGCCAAAATCCACAGCAACTCAGGATTCATTTCTGAGTGCGATTTTAATACCCGTTAAATAAACAATTAACCCGTTTAGCCTAGCTGTTAAATTTTACCTGTATGCATCAAGCGTTTGCGTTCAGCTCCTTTAGAGTCGTATGCTTGAGGTGTTTTTGAACTACCAGCTAGAAAAAGATTTGCTCTCATCAGCACTTGATTTCGCTCAGCTATTTCTTCAGTGTTTAGAGTGAAATCTGGAAGAGGAATCGGCCCAAAGAAGTTTTGATAGCCCAATCTATCTAGCGACAGTCGCTGGATGAATTCATCCTGTGAAAAAAAAACAAATCTTTTAAGTTCAGACCTCTTTTATTCCGCCATTTTTTTTCAATTTGCATAGCAGATTTTCTGAGTTCACATGATTATTTTCATTTGACTGCCACACAACCTTTGTTCATAAAGGAAAGTCAAAAATCAATGGTTAAAAAAAGAAACTCATTTCTTTCAGAAACACTTTCCAAAATTTCTTATAGTTTTAGCTAAGTTTAATTACAGACAGGGCTGTCATATTGTTAACATAAACGTTTTTAACAAGTTAACATGTTAACTACATAAAAAACACGCTAAAAACCAGGGGCGGATTTAGGGGGGGGGGCGGACGACCAGGGGCGGATTCGACCCCCTGCCGACCCAAAGGGTCCCCCCTTTGACACTTTTTCAGAAATCTATTTTTGGCCGACCGACCCTAAAATTTTTCTAAAGGCGCCTTTGGCGCCAATATATACTAACTTTGAGGGGAAGCGCGCGCCAAAAAAAAACGCGATTTTTGTCAAAATTTTTCAAAAAGTGCCCAAAAACGGCTATTTTGACTGTTTTTCAAAAAATTGCCTGCGGCGCACAAAATTTAGCCGAAATAGGGGCAAAACAGTGCTTTGGGAGAGCTCGAAAAATCAATTTGGTCGACCTAAAAAAAAAAGGTCAAAATTTTCGAATTTTTTTTGAAAATCCGCCCCCCCCCTCGAGAAAATCCTAGATCCGCCCCTGCTAAAAACAAAATTGAATTTTAAAATCACTCATCGAGTTGTTTAAAGAGAGCCCAAAGAACTTCGGAGTTTTCCATAGGTTCCATTGAGGATATAGGCTAGGCATAGTCGAGTAATTTTTTCGATGAAATATGAAAAAAGGACTGCATTCCAATTGGAAGCTCAAAAACAATGTATTACTAACATGTACTAAATTGGAAAGCATCAAGACAAATTATGTATAAAGAATGCATTTCAAAAAGCAGAGAGATATATTTAGTTGAAAAATTTTTTAAATGCTATTTTTATTATTTTCTACTGTTGTTTAAAACAATTTTTTTCCGGTTCAATTGATGAATCAAATTGGGTCGGAAAAAACATTTGTACTGTTACACGGTGTTCGCTAAATCTTGATGTGTAAGAAGTAGATATAAAGTTTCAAAATATTTCACGAGAGGGCACGAGTTCTCTAACATGCTCAGAGACGAAAATTCGAACCAATCAGGGCAAAATTTGTGAAAAACAGAACAAGGATTCATTCATTGCTTTCATCCTAAAACTGAAAAAAAGGAACTCATTTACTTGCATCATTATGGTATTTTCTCAAGACAAATGATAGGCCGACAATTTTTTCAATTTGCAAGTTTCAAGTTAAAGAAAGTACAGCTAGCTCCGGGCCAAATTTGAAAATGTGGAACTTGGCACTGCCAAACAGGGACTTTAGTTCCAGCTCATATGTACAGAAGAAGTTGATTTTAACTTATTATACACAAAGAGGCGAAGCAAAGCTTCGCATCACTTGCGATGCCACAAAAATATAGCATTACAAAATAACCGACACAAAATGAGACTGCAGTCGCACAAAATGGAACAAAAAAAATTACCTACCAAAAATTTCATATCTTTGTCTTGATTTTGTCTTAAAAAAAGTTTCTTCTAGAAAAAAAAACCCAAGTCAAACAATTGAATGCTAATTCTGCATCGAAAAACAACCTAATAAGCGGTAAAAAAACTGACAAAACCTGAGCAGAAACAGGTTGAGCTGAATAAAATTCGGCTCAAAAGCAAAAAATAGTTCCTGGGAAAAACATTCCAAGTCAAACAATTGAATGCTTATTGAGCATAGAAAAAAACATAATCAGAGGTTTAAAAAATGACAAAACCTGGGTAGAAACATGTTGAGCCGAATGAAAATGTTTTCATAAAAAAACTTCGGAAACTCAAAAAACAAACTTCTCTTACCAATAAAATGACTAAAAATAACAAGAGAAAACAATCAATGAGAACGTTTTCGATCAATTAAAAATCATCACTCGCCTGAAATAAAACAAACAATTAAATTGTACAAACGTATCTACCTCGCAGCTCTATAAATTGCAATAAGAAAAAGTAGAAATAAGCCTCGAATTAGTAAAAAAAAAATTGGCTACGTCTCGGATTCGTTGTGGAATCTACATTGACTCAGAGAATATGAGTCTCACGCGCTAAGCACTCAGCCAATGAAAGCTTAATAATAATAATAATATTAATACTAATAACAAAGGATTTAGGAATAAAATCCAAGGGTTCATATAAAACCCAGTCATAGCAGTGTTCAAAGTTTAGTTTTCAGTTATAACTGTAAGTTTCTTTAGGTCACTACAATTGTTGCATTCGCATAAAATGCGCCAAGTGCATGTAACTGATTCGTTGTGGCGAGTTTTGAAAAACTTCGCGTACATTCCTAGAAGCCTGTTGTTGCATTCTGGGTCAAAAAATATGTCAAACTTGAAGTATTCGTTGTACAGATTAGCAAGACGACATGCCCGAAACCGGAGATCCGACTTGCACTTCGTCAGACGCTTTTGTTTGCAGAAGAAATTTCGTGTCATTTGAGCTTTTCGGTTTCCAACGTCAGTAATGCTTACATGATTTCTCCAGTCGATGTCAACTTTTCCAGCTAGTATTTTTGCAAACAGCAGTCCAACATGAAGCTCTTGGTATAGAGACAAAGGAAGTGTGTTAAGTTTTACAAGTTTGTCTTTATAGGCATGGCTATTGCTTGTCATGAAAATCCACGAGATCGTTTTCCCCGGCACACTTTCATGATTCCTAAGTCACCTTTTGATGGTTTCCAGATAGCTGAACCGTAGCTCAGAATTGGTGCAACGTAACAGACATATGCGTTTTTTCTGGTCGCGAAATTTGCCTTTGAGAGATTCTTTTTGAGTACAGAAAGAGCGTTTAAGTCTTTTTGAGCCCTCTTTTCTGCGTGTTGCGTCCAAGAGAGCGTCATTTATGAAGACTAGGAAGAAAAGCGGCGCTAGTATAGAGCCCTGGGGAACGCCTCTGAAGACTTCCAGCTCTCCGCTGTCGCATTCAGCCTCACTGTTTGCTTCCGGTTCGAGAGGTAGCTGTGTATCAGAGATAAACAATTTCCTCCAATTCCAGAAGTCGATAATTTCTCCATGAGGATTCCGTGCGAGATTTTGTCAAATGCTTTTTTGAAAGTCCAAGTAGAACGTGTTCAGGTAGTTGCAGTTTGGCAAATCTAGGCAGCTAAATATCTCGTGTAGATACTCTAATCGGTTTGTTATCGTCGCTCGTTTAGGTCTAAAATCGTGTTGGTCTGGTTTTAGGGCTGGGTAGACAATTAGGGCCAGTTTCTCAAATATTAGTTTCTCAAGCAGTTTTGACACTGCTGAGAGCAGGCTGATCGGCCTATAATTTGATACGTCTTGTTTATCCCCGTCTTTGAAAATTAGTGCGATTTCGATGATCTTCCATTTTGTTGGAAACATCGCTTTAATTGCAATCAAGTTGAACAGTAAGTGAAGTGATTTTGGTAGTGACTTTGAGAGGTTTTTCAGAAAAGCATTACCAATCTTGTCTGGTCCATTGGGCTCATTCACGTCCAGCTCGTTTAGGGCATCTTCTATTTCATCGATAGTGAAAATGATTAAAAAACTAGATTACAAAGGGGCCCTTCCGTTTAGTTACGGTAAGTGCACAAGCTGGATAGGGCCATACCAGCGATATAAAAATGCATATATATCAGCAATGAAGTCATAAATCAGCATTAAATGCATCGTCGTAATGTTAATTTACCTTAGCCGTCCTTCCTGTACAATAGCGCTTATGGAGTTGTCGATAAATTGAGCTTTGCGTAGCGATCTGCACCCCCTTATACAAAGTATAGAGCTCCTCAGGAGCGCGAAGCTTATTTTAGTTCTTATGTAGTTTATAGATTCTGGATAGCTTTCTTGTCTTTTTTCACTTGGTTTTTCGGCCAATCGCTGCATCGTCCGCGTGGCTGTTGGAGCAGCGCCACCGGTGCATCCATAAATAAGCGGGCAGAAGCTACTCTGCTCTACGTTTAAAATTCTTTGCTGATATTTGGAGTTCACTAGCGTTTCGTGGTATTTGTAAGCATCCTTATGTAGTTTTCGCGATGTTTTGGCACGGGGGTTGAAAATTTTCACATCAAAGAAAGCGCGGCTGAATCATGAACCCCAGAGTCCGTTTGACTTAATGTCAAGTCGTGCATCTTCAGTTGTAGTTGAATTGTTGACAAAGCTTTCGCCTTGCAACGTCTGAAGTTTCGGCTCAATCTCGACGTCATGGCAAACCTCATTCATGAGGTTGGCGAATGTGTCTCTTATTTCATTGTGTCTTATGTGTGTGTAACCACCCTTTGCACAGTGAAGCGCATGTGTCAAGTTAAAATCACCACCACATGCACATGTGAGTGGGGTTTTGGTTGGTTCCCATCCGTATCTTAAGTAAATACCATCTCTGAACTCTGATTTATTCAGGTTGAAGTTGTATCTGCTCAGTGGTAGAGCATTGAGCCAGTTAGAGGCTCCCTTTTCAGAGGCCAGGTCGATTGCGTATTTATCTGTTTCATTTAAGGAGTTAATGAGGTTTGTTGTTTTTCGATTTGTTCTATCAGTTTTTAACTTTTTGATTTTCGTACATATTTTTTCTTGCTGTGTTACTGCTGTAATAGGATCTTGAGATTCCAGTACCAGTGATTTTTCCTTAGACCATTCTAGGTAGCTTTCATGATCGGATGGCAGCTTGATGTTAAAAGTCCGCCCATTTTAAGGGGTAAGGAAGATATCTCACGGAACTGGGGGTTTAAAGTGTCTTTACCGACTAGGTTAGGTAATAATTGTTCTTTGATAATATTTTCATATATTTCTAAGTTTTCCATAATGCTAGGCGTTGTCCTGGCAAGAAACGAAAGCTTTTCTTGAACTCCTTTAGTATAGCAGGCATAAACGTTTTAGGGGAGGTTTTAGCAATTTTCGTTAGTTTTTTCAAAATTTTGATTTGCTCATTCTGTTGAAATTCGAGGAACTTTTTACATTCAGATTCTGTTCCTCTAACTGAACCAAGCACTCGGGCACCTGCCTTTTTAGTGATTCCTGTATTTGCGAAGATTTTCTGAGCTTCACCGAGTTTTTCATCTTTGACAATGAGTTGGCATTTGGATGCTTTCACGTGGTAGCCGAAAAATTTACCCAGTGATACAATTTTATCGAGGACGGTTCGTAGATTGCTTAATTTACCGACTGCGTTTCCATCGTCTGCGTACCATTTCTGGGTTACATCGTCTACTGATAAAAATTTTATGAGGGGTATTATGGCTAGACCGTACATGGCCATTGCTAGTGGATCCCCCTGGGTTGCCCCTTCTTGAGAGTAGATTGTTTTTTTTTGTTAACGAATAGTTAAGATGGATTGGAGTAGGAGTTCTAATCGCTGTTAAAAGGGAAGGGCAGGTATTTTCGATGTTTTTTAATGCCAGCTTTCGGTTCAGCGAGTTGAAAGCGTTTTCGGGATCTATCAGTAAAACAGCATCGGCGGAAGTTTTGCTGTATTGATCTCTTAGCGTGTGGATCGCATATTCAATGCCACATTTTTGTCCTAGGCAGAGTTGGTAGTTTGAACCGAGCGACATGAGTTCGTTTTTTAGGCATTTAGTTATTGTTCGCCCTATTATCCTACGCATAACTTCTCCTATGCCTATAAGTCTCACCCCTGGATTCTTATCTAAGGGTATTAATCTGCATGCGTTATATGGTTCCATTAGTTCTAGATTTAGTTCTTCTGTTGCCAATTTTTTGGCAAATTTAGCAATTGTTTTTGAAATTTCAACTGATTGTTGCCCGAAGTGTGTTAGAATACGTCTCCATTCATTCGCATCGAGGCCAGATGGTCCATGCGATCCGTGCGTTCTCATGGCTGCCTTCTTGATATGTTGACCGTTTATCTGATCAAATATCGATGGATGGAAAGGAATTGTTTCGTTTGAGATTAGTGTAATATAGTTCTCATTAATTGGTTTAGATGGTGGGTGTTTCTCTATGAGAGTCTGTTCTACTGTCTTACCTTTGACAATCTCGTCGAGCGAAAGAACGCCTTTAGATGTGTCTGTTAGTTTTGCAATTGCGCTTGATATTTTTCCAGTATTCATTAGTTTGTTGAACTGTTGTGCTTCAGTTTCAGTTTTTCTTCTACTTTCTTTCAACAAGCGCATTTGCAGTGCCTTTCCTTCGTTATATAGTCCATCCAGGTCTCCGTCTTGCCATTGCTTATGTCGCCTTGCTATTGTTTTGGATAAAGATCCGTCAATTTCGGAGTTTGTTTTGCACAATAATAAGTGTGGAAAAATCATTGCTGCGTGCATTGCGAAGGTATTTTCGTTGTTTTTTATTAGGCTGTTCAAAGTTCTATTGAGGGTTCCAATACAGTTATAACCAACTTTATTTTTTGACAAGATCATAAAGACCGGTTTCCAGTGGACCACTTCGGTGTATATTTTCCTGGTGGTTTCTATGAGTTCTGGACAGGGGTTTGACCATGGGTCTTGTATTGTTCTGGGTTCTATAGTGGAAGACTCTCCTGAGTTTTGTGAGTGTCGGGCAGTGGAAGGGTGAGGGTGCATTTGGGGGAGCGTGGTTGTAGCTAGGGTTGGGGGATTGCATTCATGCTTGTCGTTAGCTGAATGAAATTGGGAGGTGCAGCGATGCCAACTGAAATCGTCATAGTGATCACTGCTGCGGGCTAGGCCGCTGCATTTTACATGCATGTAGCCTGGGCATGTGAAGCACCAAACACCTCCGCCTCGCAGGCTGCTTTTACAAATAAGGCAGTGTGTTTGAGTAGCCATTTTAGGAAGGACGGCGGTGTCAAGTTAGCGAGAGAATTTATAGATTAAATTTGCAAGAAAATTTGTAAAGAAATCATTACCGTAGAACGAGAAATGGATGCCATCACGGCAGAACATTTGAGGGGTTAGATTTAGGTTGAGGTTAGGCGAAACAATAAGTGTATGGGGGTTTACAAATCTATTTATCAAATTAAACAGCACATGATTATGAATATAAATTTTGCGGTTTATTTCGGAACTATTACAGTTCTGAATTGTTTTGGGGATGATCAGTGTCTTGGGCTGAAACTTGTTGGTGACGAGGTTAATCAGGTTTTTCCACTGCTGTTCTAATTCTTGTGGATGCAGCCTGTTGTCATTGTATCCAGCAACTATTGTTACTGTATTTAGGCGCTTTGGTCTGTATTGTAAAACTGTTTCAAACAGATCATGAAGCGTTGCGCCGCGGTAGGAGTGAATTGTTGATTTTACTAGAGCTGGTTTGATATATTTGGTCGATGAAGTCCCAATAACTAGTTTCTGTGAGAACTCAGGGATGCGTCTTGCCTGGAATCGCGGCATCAACCTGAAACACAGACAACTGGGGCGAGAAAGGAAGCTCTGTGGAGTGATTTATGAATACTTTCACTTAGGGTTTAAAATTGCTGAGGCAAGAAAAAAAAAAGAAAGGAGTGGTACAACCTGACGTCGATTTGGAGGTCGATTCACCAGCTCACTCCTTCTTGCGTCTAGTTACGCCAGGGAAACTTCACTCGCCTACGGCTGGGACGGCGAGATTTGGTAAGATAACCAGAAGAGGAAAGCCCAGCGCGCATATGATATGAAAACACACAAGCGGTAAATTTGAACAAAGAAATCTATTTAATAAGTTTATCACAACAATTAGGCTAACGATAAGATACTGTTCAGAAGAACGTTATCTTATCGTTCTGTTTTCCCAACGTTGGCGTTTTGTGTGAAAACCGATTGAAAATATATGTTAAACAACTCAACTTTTTGAGTGTCTGTATTGGCTATTTTTTTATCTAGGAAGATCTCTGAAGGCATCGTGCTAGACTTAGTTTTGAAGGGACAGTGTTAGCTCAGTTTTAAGGTTTTCAATTTTGCCTTCGTTCGATGAGGTAGGTTTTCGCTGATTTTTTAGTTGAAGTGTATTTAATTTCTTGATGTGGCTACAGGAATCGCTTCCCACCCAAGGAGCTAGCTCAGACCTGAGTTTTGTCGTGATTGGTAATAGGTCATGTAGTATTTCGTGTAACCACTCGTACCAATGATCGAGCATCAGTTCAACGTTGCTCAAGCAATATGGTTGGATGGGGTGTTGGCAAATGAATTCATTCATTACTTCCCAGTTATCTATGTCTTCTAAATAAATTACAAATACTAGCCACAAATAAAGCAGAGAATAAATACTATGAAGTTTCCCATGATACAGATCGTGATTATAGCAAAAAAAGGTCACCAAATAAAAGAACTCTGTTAATGAACACTTTTTTTTAATTGCGAGTTCGGCTAGAAAAAAAAGAACGTTCGTACTAATACACTAACGCTGGCAAAAATTTATTGCACCTTTGCATGAAACAAATAACTTTTTTTGGTTCAATTGATTAACTAAACATGCATCAACTATGTAAACTCATTACTTGTCGAATGCAAAAGCTCAGGCTATTATCCTACCAAGGCTGCCTGCAGCAAAAGTGCACCCAAATGAAAGTAGCACTGATATTTGCGACTTGCTTGGAAAAGGTAGTCTTCTAATCACACGCTATGCTGCACTTGTGTAAACAGTATTTAACGCGCCTTGATTAAGCGGACATTACGAGCGAGTGCCTTAAGACACTCGCAAACTTTCGAGATTCCTCATATAGAAGCCACCTTTATTGCGCTATTATTAAGTGGACAGTACTCATCCTATTTATTTAAATTGCGCAATAGTGACTAAATGTTTCAATCGGATCATTACTCTGCTCGAAATTCGCCATATTATGTTCGTTTTACTTCTCGGAGAGTGTAAAGCAATAAACGAGAAAAACGAGCTTTGAAGGTCATAAGACTTGAAAAGTCTATATGTATGACGAAAAATCATTCCTGCAATTTGCTTGGATTAATTACCTTTATAGCCCCACCCAGCAACAAAAATAAAGGCTTCCCACACATCCAGCTACAGTGGCTACATTTTACTCGGGGGGTCTATAATGGGAGAAACCCTTTGTTTGTCTATGCATGAGTGAAAAGAATTTCTACTAAGTTATGCAATTCAAGAATTGAATGGAAAAAACTTACCGTTACAACAACACGCTTGTTCACAGCTTTACAGCAAACTCGAAGAAAAGAAGCCAGCTTCACTTTATTGATAATTTCCTGGCTTCCGTTTTTCTGTCCATAACGAGCTAGAGCGTACGCATTGAACACGCCTGATGAAGAAACTTTAATTGGGGATATGCCGTTCTTCTTTTTTCCGGCTTTCTCAAACTTTAAGGAAGTCGCACACTTTATAACATATCTCATCTCTTCTGGCGGTGGCATTGGTACAGCTGCTGTGCAATCTAACCTGTGGAATGTGGAACCAAAATACAAAGACTATGAAACCAAATTTTGGGATAGTAGTTTGGATTATATGGTAATATGCAAGCAACCTAATTAACGAACAGACCAGAAATCAGACAAAATTTTCAACTGAAACAAATTTCACTGAACTATTTCTTTCCTGGTAACTTTGCTACCTATTCAAATATTTCGTTATTCATAAATAATAATGGATAAAAAAACGAAATTCAAAACTAGCTTTAGCTATATTTTACCGGATTGTATGACGAGCTTGTAGACCACAAACGAGTGGCTCATTTTATATTGAAAGTGCCGAATTTACTTAAAGAAGCTAAAAATATCTGCAACAAAATAAAATCTACAAAAAACATCATTTAAATTAGGCGCGGTGCTAACAGCTTTACAGCTCCGAGTACACACATTATTTTCGATCTGATAGATCTAAGGGTAACTGACCTCTGATAAGCTTCAACTGCGGGGCACTTTATATCAACAACAACTCCGGTTGTTTTCACTCCTTCACAAGAGATTTGGACTTTTTCACCCATCACATATCGATTTTTGAAGAACAGTGAAATTAGGCCAGCGAGTTCGGCAATTCGACTACAGTTTGCAAGCTTCGTTAAGATCAGAATCGGGGCGTGCAAATAACTAAAAACAAACATACGATAACTCAATGGAATTAAAATCGACATGGAGAACATAAGTAAACATTCACTGATTCTACTTACGACGGCAACACTTCTATGTTTTTCAGAGCGCCTTGCTCAGATTTAACAGCATCATAGTACGTTAGTCCCGTTTTTCCTGTCACAGAACATCCCCAGACCAAAGAATTGCATAAAATACTCCTTTCGAAAAACTCACTAAAATGTAACCAAATTATCATCTCAACAAATTGCTTCTACTACGAAAAGAATAGAAAGATTAAACTTACTCGTAATCAAGAAAAATTTCTTTCGTCAAGCTAATGTAGAATACTTTCTGACCAGCAGATATCCCGTTGACTTTTTTCGGTTGAAACAAGGCGTTGTTCAACAGCGGCATTATTTGGATGAATGCTTTCCCATAAACTATGGCGGATGAAAAATGAGAATCAAGCAGCAATGGCTAACTAAAGTCAACTTGCCTAAGCTGTAATTCAGATACAAGCGCATATATTGAGCTCTGTGCATATTACGACAAACCGCCATCGTTCAAGTCGAACCAATCACCTTGATAAATAGAATGAAATTTAAATCAAATAACTTAATCGAATATTCCGAATTTTCTCAGTTGAGCATGATAAATTAGAGAAAAAAATTTTGTTGATGTTTTTGCCTTCTGATTTCTGCATTTTGAAGGAGAAAAAATCTAGTTGATGTTTTTGCCTTCTGATTTCTGCATTTTGAAAGAGAAAAAATCCGGTTGATGTTTTTGCCTTCTGATTTCTGCATTTTGAAAGAGAAAAATTCTATTTTTGTTCTCAAGTATATCCGGGTGAAGGCTTTTTTTGCCCTCCACGAGTAAAACTAAATTATGAGTCAACAACAACTGACGGAATCTCTGCTACCAATTAATCATGAAGTGCTGATTGAAATGGAGACAAAATTCAGAAATAAGCTTACAGCAAAAACTTCGATGGAAGAATCAAAACAAAACTAAGCAAGAAAAATTATCCCCCCATTCTCTAAAGGAATTGTCATTTCAGCCGAAAATCTGGCGCAGGCACATCGAAGTTCTGCTTCCGATATACTGAAACATTTTCCCACAACAATGCAACAGAAGATGACAATCTCAAAAACAATAACAGTGAAAAAAGTAGACCGCAAACTGCATACACTGACTGTTATTGCTCCCCCCGAAGCAGAGCATATTATAACCAGCAACAAAAGCGAAGAAATCATTCTACTTAATAGGAATGTAATTCCCATGGTATGCTTTCCAAGGTCTCTTAGACCCAAGAACATTTACACTAAACTAACCAAAATCAAATTGTCGAATTTGCCTCATGTATGCGACAATATCGAGACAAAATTAATTCTCCAATTACCTGAAGACATAATTCATAGCCCTATAATCCAACATGAGACCTGTATCGTAACTGAACCGGGTCAGTATGTCAGTTTATACTATGACAGTTTATACAAAGGCAGCGAAAAGGTCAGTTTATACAGGAAGAGCAATTTCAAAAATTAAAACACAAAACGAAGAACAAGATAAAAAGCTGACGGACTGGTCTTATAAAACGAAAATGGATGGCTTTAAAATGTGGGAAGGTGTAGAAATCTCGTTTCACCAACTTTCAGTACATGAATGTCAAAATGCAAGATCTCTGGACGCCAAGAAAAAGTCATCACGATGATTGGTGCAACATAGGAAACCAATAAACCAATAATCAGTCCCCACAAAAACCAAGCTCTAATAATGCCAGCGATGAGAAAAATGATGACGAAACAACAAGCGATAGGTTTTGTAAAGGCAGCGAAAATGTCGAAGGAATGAATGTCGAATTAATACCTTCTTAATTTTTAGTTATTGAATCAAAAATAAACAGAGCAGCAACGCCAGGCGAAAAAAAAACAAAATGAGGAGGTTTTTAACAATCACGTCGTAGATTTTCAATCTTACACTGCCAAAGAAGAAAAAGACATTTTTAAAATCGAAAATAAAAAAAAAGAAATGTTTCATGACGGAAGAATGCTTACAAAAGGAGAGCGTGAAGTTTTAGCAACCTCTTGATCAGTTTTAACACGGAAGAAAGGGCCTAAAATGAAACCTAAAAATTCCGGAGAACAATTGGTTGGAGGGAAGTTTTATTAGCAAATTTTCTATGAGCAAAAAAGGAGTTATTTTTCCCGTTATTACTTTTAGCATAGAAAATCCAGCTAAATTACACTCACGTATCAAAAAATGTCAGGCACTAAAAAAAATTGTCCAATTTCATTTTGTGCATTCAGTAAGAAAATTATCAAATCTTACAAATATAAATCTGAGTTTACTGGATAAATACAATCCTTCACTTGATATTATAAAGGGCTCAAAGATTTCTGGTGGTTTCTTAACGTTATGGTCATGAAACTTGAGTCCTCAAAAAGAATTGCTTCAAGAATTGGTTTGTTATCAACCTTTATTCGAACCCGAACTACTTCCTAGCGACTTTGAGTTCCCTGAAAATAAGCATCAGATTTTCACAATCAATCAAAAATTATCATGGCGGGTGATTTTAACGCACTCAGTTATGACAATATTAACATTTCATCAATAATCAAAATTTCAACATTTCATCTCAAAGAACAAATTCTTGATTGTTTTGGCTTTGTTGATTTCGCACTCAAGAATGATTTTGTAACTATACACATTATGACAAACAACATAAATTTTTTGAGAGCTTAGGTTGTGTCTTTTTGAATTTCAAAACAGAGTATGATTTTATGCAAAGCATTCAATTATCAATCTCTGATCATTTGCTCTGACACTTTTTTTGTTAAGTCATCAAACTTGCTTTAACGAGGCCCTAGTTACAGGAGATAAAATGACGAAAACTTAAAAACTAATGCCAGCCTAATTCGTAAAAAACTAAATCTTTTTATTGAAAATGAATAACCAAGTACTTACGAAAAATTTAAGCATGAGTTTCGTGACCTTCTGAAGTTTATTCAAGAGAACAAAAAACGTGTAGATCAGAAAGAGCTCAATAATTTGGAGGGTCATGAAATTTTTCTCGGAGTCTGCATTCACAGCGGGAAAGCTCCGAATCTGAGTTTACTTGCAAAGTATCAATTGGTGCTGGAACATCAGATTTTTTCAGATTTTCGAAAAATTCAGAAAACTCTCAATTGAGGGTGTGCCCAAATTTTGTAATCAACAGACATCAAAGAAGACAATTAGCTCAATCAAGCAAATTCAAGTGGATAAAACGTTTATCATATGGATGAGGGTTTTCTTAATCATTTTTGAAATGTATTTATCAAATATTTTTTCAAAATATTTTACAACAGTCTCCGAACAGCTACTAATGAAGTTTTTTATCAAACAATAAACAGAAAAATAATGTGAATGAAAGCTACAATCACTTTACAGAAGATGAAATTCCTTTGGCTATCAAAAATTGAATTTGAGAAGCTAGTCTGGACCAGACAGCCTTACATCTCGGCTAAACATGACTTTCACGGATGAATTTTGTTCAGTGTTTGCTAGTATTCAATCATTTTACGCAAGGCGGAAAACTCCCAGGCAGTTTTAATTAGCAATAATCAAACTGCCCCCGAAATCTAGAAATGCCATAGCAGTACAACATTTTTGCCCGAGTTTTCTCATGGGTAGCGACGCAAAAACTTCTGCCCGAGGAATCTGTAATAGAATTAAAAAAACCTTTGCAAAATTGTGAAAAACCATCAGCGCTTATTTGTTTGCAAGACAAATGCACACAGCAATACGAAAGTTGATAAAAGCTATTGCTCCAGAACGATTGGCTAACCCAGGTCCATGTGCAGAAAAATTAGACTTTTCCAAAGCATTTGACAAATTGACAGATCACTTCTCATCAAAATATTGAAAGGGTTAAATCTTCATGAGTTTTGGGTTAGAGCCATTGAAACTTTTTATTTAGACTCAAAAGCAGTAATTGAGATTAATGGTTTTTTATCAGCCTGCTTCAAAATTCATGTAAAACAATGTTGCCCTGTTTCCGCATTTTTTTCATAGATTTCATCGAACCCTTTCTTTGAGCAAATGAATCTACAGAAACAATTGAAGGTTTTGCGCTATTGTGCCCCAAACTAGTTTCATATGCAGATGAAATAGTTTGCTTTATTAAAATCCAATGTAATGACAAATTGTTTCACTTAAACGAAAATTTTTGCAAACAAACTCAAATGATGTTTAACAAAAGTAAAAGTGAAGTGCTTTCTAAACCTAATTTATCACCATATGAATCAGTCGAGGAAAATAAAATACTTGGTGTCTTGCTTCACACTTCCAAAAAATCGAAAAAAATGAAATAATATTGAGTTCTTAAACTCACAAAACAAGAGGGTTAATTTCACTCAGTAAAATTTTGAGGGCGAAGACTTAAAGACTGTTATGTTCGCCCTAAATTTTTTCATATGGCTCGTCATACTACAGTTTACTTTGATACCGCTAGAAACTGCCAAGATTTATTAAATGCAGAAAAGAAAGAATCAAGCACACTCGATATAAGGAAAGAAGTTTTATATCACCCAATTTTAGATGGTGGGGTAAGCTTACCATGCCTACAACTGAAACTTTTCAGTCTCATAAAAACCAATTTTTTTGCTTCCGATATGTCAAATCAAAACAGTTTGTTACCACCACAACTTATTTTCCCCAAAAAATGAAAAATTATTGAGAATTACGAACATCTCAGTTGAAGTAATTTCGAGTGACATTGTGATTTTTTCAAAACAGCCGTTTAATTATAACACTATAGACAAAAAAGCGAGATGTTCATTTTTTCTGCTTACAAAAATGTAGCTTTTTTTTGAGCTGCGTTTTACCGCTTGTATTTTGCTGGAAACCGTTATCTCTGTTCATAAGAAAAATTAATTAAATTTACAGGCAAAATTTGGAAAAACTCAAGGCTTCATATGTGGAAAAAAAACATTCTTTATAAATTCGCATACGCTGTTTTTAAAGATCGCAAAAAGCGGTGGTTTTTGTTTTTTGAGATTGCGACCGAATGTTTTTTTTTGTAATTTAGAATTCAAAACATTCAAACACCTAATTATTCGTGGTGCATGCTCAAAATCATCGACGTCAAGGATAATCAATTTGAAAATTTTTGTGTCACGGGAAGTATGGAAGATACGAAATAAAAATTGCTCCTTCTGGTACAACCTACAACTAACATGGTTGATTTCAGCAAGAAACCAGGATACCCGGTATCCGGTAAAAATAATGTTAATTGAACAAAAATTGCTAGGTATTTCAAGCGTACAAGGATACTTTGTATCCGGTACTGAGAAATTAAATTGAAGCACCAGTCAAAGAAAGAACAAAAAACAGTTTGCCGACCAGGATACCCAGTATCCGGTTTTAACAAATGTACTGGAGCAGTTGACAACTATCTAGGCGAGAACTTAACAAATTACCACCAGTTTCTTGTGTCAACAATTAGGTTACTAACTCGATGAGTTGTTTCGATAAATGTTATGCATTTGATGTACACGTTGATTATAAAACTCTAAAGTAAGTAACTT